ACCCGCACTATGCACATCCTGTATGATAGCTGTAATAAACTACTTTACTCAAATGTTAATTCTTTTTACAGCCAAACCGTCATTCTTAGATCCTGACTCAGGAAAACGCATTGAAGTCACACAGGGAGACAATCTAGTGCTCGAGTGTCAAGTGGAAGGAGATCCGAAGCCGACTGTTGAATGGCGTAAAGACGGTCGTCGCATTCTTCCTCACGGACCAACTACCGCAGAACGTGGAATCGGGAACGGGAACGGTGCCACTGGGCCGGCAGTTGTTGTTTCACCAGACGGTTATACACTGACGGTCTACTCAGTGAACGATGCCGTGGCGGGCAGTTTCACGTGTTCGGCGATTAATATACACTCGGTTGAAACCAAGGAATTCCGTGTCACGGTTAAAAGTGAGTTCTAAGGGAATCACACTTCGAGTTGTCCCTGAGGCGGAATTATCAGGCTCATTATTCGCCTTTTCCAGCTGGATGGTCAAGTATTTCATCTCTATCGAACCATTTTGTACTAAACTGTGATCTCCGGATGAAATAGTATAATCGAAATCCAGTACCATACCATGTGCGAAGTATTTAGGTGAATATTTATCCACAGTGGACATGATTGCGCTTGTCTAATGCGATAGTCAGTGTGCCAATGCGATTCGGGGCTTGAAAAAGTACCGGTGTTAGTTGCCTTTCTGGAGTACAGTGTGTGCTATGATGTACGCACAAGAGGCATGCAGCTGCACCTGAAAAAAGTGAATCTGAGATCTGTGAAGTAGTTGAGATAAAATACGCAAATATAAAACTAAACGTATAATCAGGTGGTTTGTGAGGGAAGTTGCTTCGATGTGTTAGAAAGTTAAAATGAAAGCCAACTGAACTATGGGAATAATGTTAACATAAGCAGACAAACTGTCTGACAGTTGGCATTTCTTTTCCATTTATTGTTAAAATTATATACATAAATGTTAGATCTATCAGAGCTTTCAGATATGTATTTGTGCTCAAATAAACGAATACGTAATTTTGCATCAATGAAAAACAAGATATAACGGAAAAGTGGAAACCCCGGAGAGTACCACCAGAAACCCACATGATGCTACCTTGAGTATCCATAGAAAAAATAGGAAAACAAGGTTAGCTGCTTTTGCGTTTAAATTAGATAGACACAGTGGTATTATTTGAATTCTTTATCGCGAATAGCGCTCAACACGTAAAATATGCCAAGAGCCGATAGTTTTACGAATAGTGAGCATAATCCATTAATTCCATCCCACCTGACATCAAAACTGTTTCAAACATAACGTGATCTGTTGTTGATTTGCCGTAGAACGCTTTCACAACCCTGTTTTCCGTGCACGGGTTCTTTTTTGTACACATAGCTCCTCCGATCATTTCAAAGGATGGTCCGTCGGAATTTGAACTTGGTCAACAGGAAGTGGGTCTGCTCACCTGCCTCGTAACAGCCAGTCAACCACCAGCTACCGTGCGCTGGTTCAAAAACGGACAACCACTGGTACCAGTCCCTGGCCGGATTACATTATTGGACAATGGACACACTGTGGTTAGTTATCCCCTATGTTGGAGACACGTTTGCGTCGTGACGCTCAAACTCTGTTCAGGACACATAGTTTCTAACCTGTTTCGTTATTTTCTGCTCTTTACTGTACTGGTCTATCGCTGTCGGAAACTACAAAACGATGAAGAAATGTACTTTGCTTTTAAATAGGGATAATTTTATAACAAGATTTGCTAGAAAGAAAATAGTTCAAGTAGGATTGAAGATTCCGCCACATCGCAAAACGTCCCTTCCGCAAATTGCTCTGGACGTTCGGTACATCGCTACTAAGAATCTGAAACACTTCATCTATCCATCACTTGTGACAAACATCCGATTTCCGCCAAGCATGCTAGTTCAACCAAGTCCGCAAAGGGCGAAAATTTCAACGACTGCGAATAGATCCCTGACACGAACCACCGTTCTGAACCTAGACAACACCTAGATGAAATCCGATGAATCTGTGTGAATAATTCAATCAGAGCCAACACAATACGGTTGCGCAACGAAAACGCTTTCCCTTTAGGTTATGGTTGAAGAAATTGAAAAAAATGAAATGTCGTATTCGTTTATTGTATTTCATCTGTGCTACTTTCAATGGAACATACATGAAGCGAGCAAGTTTGTCAAAGATTTTGGATTGTCGGTGCGTACAACGATGAGTAAGGTACAACAAATACTACTGCTTCAAGGAGGGAATTGGTCGTGTATAGAGCAAATGAAGCTTGAACTGACAAGCTAGGAAGCACTGGACAGCTGTTCCGACCCGGTTGGGTCCCGTCAGCAGTGCGAATCTATTGGCCCAATCGGGGATCAAACCCTTGACCTCACAGGCAGAATGCAAGCATGCTACCCACTCGGCCACCTGGCAGCTGATCAGACCCTTATTATTTTCGATTTGTATTACTGACGCCTGCCCCAGTACTGATGAATTGAACGCCGTATGACTATGCTACAAGTAAAATCGAAAATGCACTACTCCTTTAAGTGAAAATCTCAAACACTATATTGTTTTCTATTTACAAGCCCTGACATAAATCAAAAGCGATACGACGAAATAGTGAAGACTTACCGTTTTGGACCGGTGGGAAACATTACCAGTCCAAGGATCATAAATATCGCTCAATACTACCATCAGGTCGTTAACACTGCAACATTTGATACATTGGGATGGTCAAGGCCCAAGAATTTCGAGTTTCGGTTAAAGACGAAACGGGTCGAGGCTGAAGGATTCAGGGTTTCGGTTGAAGCTTGGTTTGCAAAGGTCTAGTGCTATTCCTACGAGCCATATTTGATTTCCTTCTANAGTTCAATAACAAAATCACATCCGGTTTTTGAGATTCACTTACATGATGATTTGAGACAATCCAAGGGATGCCTATTTCTATCAAATTTCACGCTACGTAACTTGGGGTAAAAGCTCTGTTTGTTTGGTTGTTTCCTCTCAACTAGGAAGTACGCGGTAAAGTGGAAGATGATTCCGGTTCGTTTGAATGTCGCGCGGAGAATGAGGCCGGAACGGACTCACGGTTCTATCAGGTCACCATTCTTGGTAAGTCAGCATTGACGTGCATAGATTCTTGTTAACTAGGCATAACAGTACTTAAGTTCATTTGATTCTGTCTACCATGAATGGATGATGGAACATCTGCTGCACAAAATAAGAACTAGTTATTCTTGCCGGAGATAACGTTGCCACAGTACACTTTATCATCCACACTAGTATCGTTATGCTTACTTCTTTTCTGATAGGACACTCGAATCGTCAAGGCTGAATTCAGTGTAGTTTATTTTGCGAAGCTAAGAGAGTCAACCGCTTTCACTAAACTATTTCCCCAATCTGTAAAAGGATATGCATACTTTCACACAGATATCACATACACCTTGCATAGTTTAAACCGGTGCTATACGTGCCGCTACACTAAAATAAAATGACAGAGCAACAAACGAGGTAGATTACGCTCTGAGTTCCCGGTCAACGTGCAATGTTGGTCATTTGCGGTATTCGTAATCACCATTAGATCACCTTTGATGGGGACAGTGCGACTTAAATCACTATCCTACAGTAGGACGTGTATTCCAACCCAGACTTAGCAAGTAATCTTTGCTATCAGGTAGAACTGCTAACCTTTGCCCAAATGCTATAATCTATGCACTTTTCTACCGTGTATTGTGAAAAGACATGAAGTAGAAATAATCAAATTCCGAATGGTCAGAAAACACTCTTGACCGATCCAAGGAGCATATCTCATGGCTATTTGGTTTAAAGACTGTACAGGCACTTCAACCAAGATCGTATGAACTGATAATAAAGAATTCGCATAACGGTATCCATGATGCTCAAACACTTATCAACGATTGTCAGCCATGAAATAGAAATATGGATCGAGGGTCTTGCTCTACAAGACTGAAATCCTCATTCCTGTATATTGTTAGGTCACCTTATGTAATAATTTTTAGCAATGAACCTAACTCTTAGTGCTTTCAGTTAATAATGATAATGTTCTCAGTCTCGTTAAATTGAACATTCAGGTAAAGAATTCCTGGCATATAAAGTCAATGGTTAACCGATATGGAGTAAAATCACCTCCAACAGCACAAACCGGACCGAGTTTATTTTGTTCAGTTATTCGCTTCAACAGTAATCAGTGGTTTCTCGGTCTGATAGTTCTGAAGTAGCAGCTTTTTTGGTTATGGTAACGAGTCCATCAAATGGTCATGTCTTTTGTCAGCGTTTGAGTAAGTATTTGAGATAGGCGAATAGTTTGAAATGATGTGGAACGATTGTAGCTCTAGATGCGGATGTTGGTGTTGGTGAGTTCTCCGAGCTGGAAGTGTTGTTTGCAGACGTTTCGTAGCCAAGCTAGGCAACAGCATCAGTGCGACTTCCTCGAAGTCGGCTACGAAACGTCTGCAAACAACACTTCCGGCTCGGAGAACTCACCAACACCAACATAGGCTAATAGTAGAACTGTCTGTTCTATACCCCCAATCGCGTGCTTTGGTGGGTTTAAACATGGTTGTGTCCAATATCCAAACTTTTCATTCTCTCTATCGAATTCGCCATATTCATTACAGTTCCTCCTACTGTGACAACACGGGACAAAATCACCCGGCGTCTGGTCGGTGCGGGTCACACAGTAGAAATTGAATGCGGTATGACAGGCTATCCCGAACCGCGTCTAACCTGGCAATGGAATGGTAAACCACTGACCACAACCGGCATCGGGAAGGACGGTGCCGCATCGAATCTCGGTATTCAGGTAGTACAACACGGTCCGGAACAGAGCAATTTGATCATAAGAGATATGAATTCGGCATTGCAAGGGAAGTGAGTGTAAACTCTACACTGTTTCACACATGTTGTTGGTGAAGGGATTCTCCTAACCCCTATTACAATACGTGAGATAAGTTTTTATCGGGTAGTATCGCCTTATGGAAGGATCATCATGTACTCAATGCGTGCAGGAATCGTGAATGCATAGCGTCTTATATCACGTGATCGTAATTAATGGATATGCATACCTGGATTGCGTTTAGGTGCTGCGCGTGCTTGCACCGAGTACACGATACGGAAGAAATGATGAACTGGTCAAGATTGATGTAAAGCAACGCAAAATCCTGAATTAGTCGAATTGGGTATTCATTCAATTACTTCTCTTGGGTTTGATTTCGACTTGAAAAGCTTTTGTATAACTGTGATATTTTAGGCTTCGAATTGTTCATGGGCAACAAATTTTGAACGTGTCTACACCAGTGGTTATGGCAGCCCCGTTTCTTCCGTCTTTTCACGGAGAATCTTTCTATAGATTGTTCTCGTCACGAGCTTAAAAATCTGCTGAGAATGTTAATGGAACGAATCTGAATTCTGGGAAATTTTTGAAACAAAAGAATAGAAATTTCATTTTCTTATTTCTTTCAGCTTCACCTGCATCGGTACAAACAAAGGTGGATCCACGGAAATCGTATACGAAGTGATCGCCTTGGGTACGTTTTTTTATCGTCGTGTACTAACTCTAATGAGAGGGTTGATGCTGTCTAATGTAAAACAATAGTAGACCCCTGTTTAAGTGAATGAATGACGTCGGAAGTAATCTACAGATAAACGACAGTTTGGCTTTCGTGTGCCCTGTTTCAAGTTACAGATGTTGAAGTGTAGAAAGTCTGATCTGTTGCCTAGCGGAATGGATTTATCTGTGTACGAACTGGGCGACTGCCAGATTTGGCTTTATTTTCCTAGAAAGATATCTTTGTCTCTACGCAGGAAGCATTAAATTTAAATACTTGTTATCTATTTTGCTTTGTATCAGATCGCCCACTTAATTTCAAATGATTTTTGTTCTTCGAATCATTGGTAAAAATCTCGATGCCAAACATGTCATCTCATGAGAACATTGTGCAATAAGATGTGAATTTCTTTTTCATGATGGATAGTCCCCTTGTATTACAATTGGTCTATGAACCAGGTGCATCTGATTCTATCTCTCTCACTGTTTCATTATCATGATATATTCGATTGAGACTATCCTTTTTGTTTCGCAAATTTCAGAAAAACCTACAATCGAAGATTTCCACGAAAAAGCTGTTGTGTTTGTGAACAACACAATCACTCTGACATGTGAAGCCAGTGGAAGTCCACCGCCAAAAATTACGTGGTTCTTCCAAGGTCAACCGTTGGACCTGAATAAGACGTATGGCTATCGGTGAGTTAATAACTCAACTAGTTCATCGAATAATTTAGGATTCTTTATAAAAATTCACAAAAGCAAGATTCAAAAGTTGTACCATAATTTTGTAGGTGAAACAAAAGCCTGATAATTATCCGTAAAATTTTGTGGATTTCTANTGATACTTTAACTCGTAGTATGAATTTTTGTAGTGTTTGTAGTAATGGTAGTAGTAGCACGCAATGAACACGAAACACGAATCACGGAATACGA